GACTGAGTCAGCTGGTTCAACAGCAGTGAGTGAGGAAGAGAAGTCTTCACTGAAGCAGATTGCCACGCCTTTCTGACAAGTGTCTGGTGGGTCTGCAGCCGAGGATTAATCCTTGCACCACCAGGGGCCCTCTTTTTTTATGAATCCTAAATGTAGGAAGGTTTGGCTCCTAAAAGAAATGACACTTACTTATTGAACCATCAAAAGAATAATAATTCTTTACATATCAGTTTATTCATGTGGGATATATTAGAAAAATTAAGTTGAAATAAATTTTTCCAGAAATAAGACATGACTCTAATTGGTACAGCAGTTGTTGCTGTTGGGTGCCATCCCATCGACTAGAATTCAGGGCTGCCCTATGAGTAGCAGATCTGTACCCTGTCCTGTGCTGTCCTCACCATCTCTGATGTTTTGGGGACCATTGTTAACAATCTTTGTGTCAGTCCATCTTGTTGAGAGTCTTCCTCTCTCTCACTGACCCTGCACTTTTCTGAGCATGATATCCCTTTCCAAGGAGTAGCCTCTGCTAACTACGTGCCCGAAGTTTGCAGGACGATGTTACAGCAGCCTTGCCTCTAAGGAGCACCGTGGTTACTCTCCAAGACATTGTTGGTTCCTTTGACAGCCCGTGGGATATTCCGTACTCTTCTCCATTAGCACAATGCAAAGGCATCAGTTCTTCTGCCATCCTTATTCTTTGTCCAACTTTCTGGTACAAGTAATTGAGAAGACCATGGATTTGATCTGGTGCACTTTAGTTTTTAAACTGACACTGTTGCTCCCTAGAACTTTGAAGAGATCCTTGACCAAGATTTTGCCTATGTACTATGTCTTTTGATTTCTTGACTGCTGATGTAAATGGTGCTGATTGTGGATCCAAAGAAGATAAAATCATTGATAACTTCAATCTGTCTGTAATGATCTTTCCTACTGGCCAAGTGGTGAGGGTTTTTGTTCCCTTGCTGTTAGGATGTAAATTCGTATTAAAGGCTGTCATTCTTGATCTTCTGCAGCAGATATTTTAAGTCCCTTGTTTTCTGAAAGCAAAGTTATATCATCTGTATAACGCGGGTGGCTGGTGCCACATTCATGTTCGTAACAGGCATTTTAAATGATCTGTTCTGCATACAGATTGAATAGTTATGGAGAAAGGATCCAATCCTTTCTTGATTTTAAACCATGTACACCATTCTTGATTTTAAACTATGCAGTTTCTCTTCAGATAACAGTTTCTTGGTCTAGGTTTAGGTTTTCCATGAGCACAATTAAGTGAGATTCCCGTTCTTCTCAATATTAGTCATAATTTGTTATTATCTACACAGTCAAATGTTTTTTTTTCTTACTCAATACAGCACGAATAGATGTTCTTCCCTTATTCTCTGCTTTCCTCCAGGATCCATCTGACATCAGTAGTGATTGCTACTCTGGTGCCATAGCCTCTTGTAAATTCAGCTTGAATTTCTGACAGTGTACT